CAGAGTTGACTCATCAGAGAATGTCACTTTTTTTTTTAATAAAAGAATAGAAGATAAGTAAAGCTCATAGAAATTGAGTCTCGTAAAGCACCATGAGAAAATGCAGGCATTCGTGTGGTTATGCACATTATTCTCCTTATACAAGTCCACTTCTAGAGCTTTTACATGTTGATTCTTGACACCTATTGAAAGGGGAAACTGCAATTCTAAGATAAACATGGGCAGCTTAGGATCTGGTTCTAGGTACCTCACAAGAGACCTTGGTGTGACGCTTTAGTCATGTGGAATGAAAGGACTGGTTATTTCACTCTCCTGTCTTATTTTGCCACTCCCCTGATCTGTACTTTCCACTCCATTCAACAGGTCAGAGATCAGCTAACTGTGGCCTAAGGGCCACATCTGACCTGCCGCCTGTTTCAGTAAATAAAGTTTGCTTGGAATCCAACCACTCTGGCCGTTTGTGTTGTCTGTGGCTGCTTTTGTGCAACCTGGCCAGAGACCATTTCGCCCACAAAGCCTAAAATATTTACAGAACATACTTGCCAACCCCTGCAGTAGGAAGTCATGTGTGTACTGTGACCCTGCCACATTAAGAAGACATTTGATAGGTCTTAGCTATTTGAGATGTTTTAAAGACATTTGTGGGACTTAAGAAATGTAAAGTAACTAATTCATTTTAGGAAACTAAACATATCACAAGAGAATGGTCAAAATATGCTAAAACATGCACACAAATAAAATTTTCCGTGACAATTTGAAAAAAACTACAGAATGAAAAGAACCTACTTTTTGATGTACAACATGTTCGAATGTTAAAAGTTATTATATTTGGTCACATTTGTCTGTTGCTTTATTTTTTTCTTATAAATGCTGCCAAATATGTGATTCTGGGCTTCATGTCCAACAAGGTGACAAACATAGGTGAGACTATAGAACATTGACATCATGGCCATACCAAATGTGATTATTCATCTGGTCTCATTTGGCCAAAATAAATTTGAGATGTATCACACAAAACTGTAGATGCAATAGAAAAATAATTAAAGAAGGCTTAAAGAAGCTTAAAGAACAAGAGTTCAAGTTGGAAGAAAAGAGAAGAGAAGGAGTTACATCAATTAAGAGTTCTCAACCTTCTTATTTCATGAGAAGAAACATTCTATTATGTCAAGAGATAAAAATTATACACTAGATTTAAGACAAAATTTTTTGAAGAGTGTAAAATAATCTCTTGATGTTCATATTAAATTTAGATGTATTGGCTTAAATGAAATGTATTATGAAAGTTAATTTTTCTTCTTTTTTTAATATGACTACTAGAAAATATATGAAACTCAAGAGATTAAGCATCTGCCAACCTAATGAATAATGTACATATAGATCCCACCATCTTAGGACATGTTTTCTGAAATATTGATCACAAATTTAAAATAAACTTTCATACTCTTGGGAAAAAAATGATATCATTTGCAGTTTTTTACAAAACCATGCCTGGTTTAATGATAGTCTGATTTGTGTTCGGGTTCCAAATCTATAATTTCTTTCTTATTCATCTAACAAATTAGAAAATATAAATCACAATTACAGATAATTGGAAATGTTGGCAAACATCCAGTGTCTCTGTCAGATGGTTCTGGAGATTCCAACCAAGTGTACTTATAAATTTTAACTCCAGCTGACAACCGCTTTTGCCCTGGGTCCACCCCATTGCAATGCTGAAGGATCGTCTATTTCATCGTGGGAGATATTTTCAAAGTGCTTACCTACTCTATTCTTTGGTAGGGTTGACCCTGAAAAGTATTTCTTCATGTTGTCTGTAGCTTTTACGTAATGATTTTTAAGTAGGCCACTCTGCTCTGTGACTGCTGAGATAACTGCCTCCAAAGCCAAAAAAATCGACTTCATCAAAGCCCCCGATCCATTGATCCCACTACCTTTTTCACTATCTCTCTTCTTATCACTCAGGATCTTGCATCCCTCTTTACTCAGTTCAAGGCCCATGGACAGGCAGCAAAATCACTCCCGTGCACACAACTTTATTCCTTTGTCCTCCCTCTCTTCTCACACTAGCAGAAACCACATCTACTGACTTTCCCTCTGAATTTGACTGGAGAAAAGCATGGTTGTACTTTCTGGTTTCACTTTTAATTCATGCCCACAAACTTCAAGTGGGTACTTAATGCTGCCCAGCAGGCACATTATATGTTATTCACTATCACTGAGCTTTAGCTCTAGCTGGAAACATTGAAGCAATAACAGGGAGCTTCCACCAGTTCCCACTGCTGCTGCCCCATTGTAGCTGGAGATAGGCTGCCTGCACTCTGGTCTGAAGGCAGCCCCTCCACTCTGGTGTCAGATGTGTCCCATCTGCCTACTCAACACCGGGGCTCTAGTAACTCCCAAAGTCAGCCTGCCCCTCTCTGTTGGTCATTCCCATCCACCTGCAGTGACTCTGATGCTTCTCCCATCATATTTAGGAAAACATACATTTCCAAACCCCACTGCATCCCTCCCTGCAGCCCCCACTCCATGCCTCCTCTCCCCTGTTCAGCAGTACTCTGCAGACATCATCTGCTGCCCATTCTTATGTCTCCCAGTTTCTCCTTCTGGATCTTTCCTGCATCCAGTTCAATGTTTGGCCCAGTGGTTTTACTGCTCCTATCCAAGTCCCCAGTTAAATCCCCTGGTTTTCAGCCATCATCTCATGTCCGTTCACAACATTCAGCCTCCCTCGCCTTGAAGCACTCCATCGCCTATTCCAGGATGCGCCCTTTATTGATTTGCCTCTCACTCGCCTGGCCATTCGTTCTCAGTGTCCTGGGACTTAGACCTTAAACCTTTTCTCTGTCTGCACCCAAGACTATGGTTCATCATCAATAAAGGGTCATGACTTGAAATAGCATCTATGTGCTGATGACTCCCAGGTTTATTCCCAGTCAGATTCTCTCCTGACCTCCACATTTATATGCCCAACTAAGAGCTTTTAGGTATCTTCATTGTATTGTGTTATATGTCCGATACATATCTCAGACTTACTTGTCTAAGACTTACCTGGTCTTCCTTCTATCCCCCACAGTCTGCTCCATCTCATCACAGTTCTGTCCCTTCAGTGGCCCAGGTCAGTTCCTAACACTTTCTTGCTGTTCCCAAACGTCTTTCATCTCCTTCCTGAATTACTGCAGGAGCCTCCTAACTCTACACCGCACACTTCAACATCTTCCAACATGGCATCCAGAGTGGTCTTCAACTATCAAAGCACCTCTCCTCTACTTTGAAGTTCTTTCTCTTCCCTCTACTACCCCTGCTTATAGCCTGCTCCAGCCGTGCTGGCAGGATGGCAGGCAAGTACCCAACTACCTAAGGGTCTTTCACAAGCTATTGCCTGTGTTTAGAATTCCGAGAACTCTACCCCCGCTACTGAGCATAACACTTTCTCACCTGTCTCCAGGGTCACCTATTCAGCATTACGTGCTCTGGCCTGCCCCTCACCCTGCCCTGTTTCCTGTACTTCTTCTCACCTCCTCAGATATTTATTACATTCTCTACCTCCTACTAGAATGTAACCTTCAGAATTTCACAGATTTTTGTCTGTTCTGTTTCTTGATAGATCTTCAGCATCTAGAATACACACTAAGCAATGTGTTGAGGGTATAAATCAAGAGTTTTTCTGTTTCTGCCTCATGCCCCGCAGAATCTGCTGAGAGCACCTGGTGATAGCTTTTGATTCCTTTCAAGTTTCTCAAGTGTTATATCAGAAAGAGATTCAGAAAATAACCACCGAAAATGGTGTCCTAGTCTTGATTACAAATTGTCTTTTATTTTAAACTGAAAAACAATTCCCCTAAAATGTAGCAGCACTATCCACTAATATTGAAAATGTGTAAATAATTGATCCTTGACATTTTTAAGAATATATTCAATGTTCTTCACAAATTCCCCAATTCGTGTACACCGCAATAGTATATTTACTAACTTGGATTTCAGTCAAAAGAAAAGAAGGAAGCTACGTGAAGCCCTGGCTCCTGTGCATCTGGCCAGGCTCAGCTGTTGGGAAGGGGCTCACCCTGTAACCCAGCGGGTCTGCCTCATGCTTGTGCCTCTGCAGTGTCACCATTACAACAGCTCTTGGATACAGAGTGTTTCCCCTGTATTGTTGAAACCAAGAATTTCAATTTTGTGAAAGCTAGAGTTCATTATATTATTTTATTCTATTTATTATTTTTTGTGGTACTACGGATTGAACCCAGGGCTTCATACATAATACTCAAATGCTGTACCACTGACCTATATCCCCAGGCCAGTTTTTTTGTTTTGTTTTTGTTTTTGTTTTGGTACTGAAATTTTAACCCAGGGTTGCTTAATCACTGCACCACATCCCAGCCCTTTTTATTTTTTTTATTTTGAGACACAGTCTCATTAAGTTGCATGGGGTCTCACTCAGTTGCTGAGGCTGGCATTGAACTTGTGATCCTCCTGCCTCAGCCTCCTGAGCCACTGAGATTACAGGCATGTGCCACTGCACCCAGCTTTACTCGACTTTATATATTAACTTTAAAATTTTAGTTCTGCTAGGCTGCTGTACCTTGGTTTAGAATGTAACATGTGTGGGTATTATTATAACTAAAAGACAAGTTACCTTACTGTTAAAAACAAAATAAGCAACCTTTTATATCTGTAGGTTTTCACTTTGAGACCAAAAGACAAGTAAGCATTCATTCCAGGTAATTTGGGACCTCTGAAAATAAACAGAAAAAGAGAAAACTTATGTCTTTGTTTTCGTTTTTAAGCTGATCTATATGTACATAGTATATATAGTATAATAATGATATATGTAATATTTCAGTTTAACAAAACCTCTGTGCTATGGGAATCCTTTTTTTAATGATGAATAGGAATCTTTGATTTAAAAAAAAAAAAGGTTGGCATGAAGAGGGTGCTGTCGCCACGGTGACAGCTGTCCAACAGAAACATCTCACATCTCTTCTGTTTATCATGTGTTTTAGGGCAATTCAAGCTGCTGGAACAAGACAGAGACATAAAAGAGCCAGTGCAATATTTCAACAGTGTGGAGGAGGTGGCTAAAGCATTTCCTGAACGCGTGTACGTCATGGAGGAAATTACTTTCAACGTGAAGGTAGCTCTTGAACAACCAAATATTTATCTTCACTAAAATAATTTAACATTCAAGTCTGTATGTACACAGTACGTGCGTGTCTGCCTCCCAGGAGAGTTCCATCCTCCCAGTGGATTAGTGTTAGCCACCAAAACTGCATGTATTACAGAGCTAACCTGGCTCCTGACCACATACTCTCTTCATTAGCATTGTCTTTTGTTAGAATTTAAGTGATGAATTCAGAAATAAAATTGCAAAAGCAGATAAAAGATATTTTTTAATTTATTCCCTAATGTGTAACATATGTTTGATTAGACCTTCTGTGGGGCTGGGTATTCGACTCTTCAGAGCAAAGGCATATGATGAAATGAATACTCAACCTTTAATTAAGGAAGAAAGAAAAGACTTCCAAAGCTGCCCTGAGATCAGCCTCGATTCATTCCATTCTTTGTGAACGATCTATTGCAATATACACCAAAAAAATGGATAAAAATCTTACCCAGAAAAAAATGCTAGCTAAGGTTTGCTCTGCTTCATGTGCTTTGCCTTCTTAAAGGAACAAGGCACTCCCCCTTCCACACTTACAGTGAGCTCCTTTGACCAGACTTGATCTTGAAGCATTGCCACCAACTAGGTCCAGTCGTATGACCCACACGTCTATTGTGTTTTCTTCAGCAGCACCCACAGTTATATTCAACCACATTAGAAAGTGTTCACATTGAAAGGATTTCCTATTTAACCTCATTTCCACAGGAAGTCCAATTAAGTCACATTCTCTGAACATTTCAAGATTTAGGAGGCCAGAATTCTGTTTCTTAGAAATCCGCTCTCTGTGAACAACAGACTGCATGGCATTTTGGCCCAAGAATGCATCAGTGTCTTTGTGGGTGAGTCAGTCTGCCCACACTCTTCAGGAAAGATGGAGACATCCAATCAAACTTCTTATTGCAGAGGTGGTTCTGTCTATTTTATTGGCTAAGCTAAGTCATTTTTTCTAATATGGATCTCCTCTGATCAACTTTCTTTAGCATTATTTTTAGGGTGAATGAGATTTTATAATTTGTAAAATCTTATACTAAATAAATTTTATTTATATGCAAGAACATTTATATAATTTTTTTTACTCCTTCGGTGGCCCAGAATGTAAGACAACGTGCATTCAGTTACACTCAAAGTTCATGAGGACATTTTCTGTACTTTTTAAACTTACCAGCATTAATTGGTTTGTGGGAAGTTAAATCTGTTTTTATTTGTCCCTCTGTCTGGTTTTTATCAGTTCCAGGGATCAGAACAAGGAAGGGCCTTCAGCATGGTGGGCTAGTAGTGCTTTTCACTGGGCCATATTCCCAGCACCAAGAAGTTGAATCAGTTTCATTAATGTCTCCATATGATTTAAAGCTCTTCTTAAAACTTATATTTAGAATTACTTAATGAAAAAAAAATGTTTTAAAAGGCAGGTTAATACCTTTAAACTTTTTTCTAAAAATATTTCATCTGCACTGGGTAAGGTGGTATACATCTATAATCTCAGTGACTGGGGAAGCTGAGGCAGGAGAATCACAAGTTTAAGGCCTCAGCAATTTAGAGAGATCCTCAACGAGTTAGCAAGACCTTACCTATCTCAACATAAAAAATAAAAAGGACCATGGATGTATCTCAAAGGTAAAATGCCCCTGGGTTCAATCCCTAGTCCCCCACAAAAAAAAATATTTCATCAATAATAAATGATGAGGGCTGGGGATATAGCTCAGTTGGTAAAGTGCTTGCCTCACATGCACAAGGATTCAATCCCCAGTACCACCAAAAATAAATAAATAAACAAAAATAAATGATGAAAAATCAAGCATAAAAATTTTTCATGATTTTAAAGATTTCCTCTAGTACTAAAGTTAGCATTCCAGTTTTTGTGACATATTATTCCTGTACAGTATTTTAAAAAAATGCTTCTAGAGGCTTTCTTTTTGTAAATTTTGCACTAAAGAAGTGATGATTAAAAAGGTGATACTAACTTTGGATTGTGCAAAGAGGAGTGAGGGGAGGAGGGGGCTGTGGGGTTGGGAAGGACATTATTACCCTGTAGACATGTATGATTATACTACCAGTGAGACCCTACACCATGTTCAGCAAGAGAAAGAAGTTGTGTTCCATTTGTATACAGTGTGTCTAAATGTGTCCTACTGTCATATATAGCTAATTAGAACATTTTTTTAAAAAGCCCTTCACAAAAGGAAAAAAATGAATGAAAATTTTTACTATTCAGGCTAAAAGGACCTTGAAAACTCATCTAGCTTTTTCTGAAGGCTTACTGAAGGCCTTCTGAGCCATACTGAAGTCAAATCAAATAACTAAAAATGGATTAGAAAAAAAAAAGATAATACTAAATTTATAAACTTTAATAGTCTTAAATATATAGAATACCGTGTTTGAGTATATTCATTAAAGTGTATGTAGTAGAGATGTCTCTTAACAGTTTGAAGGCACAGATAAGTGTATAAAAGGTGAGCTTATCATATCCATAGAGCTAATTGGATTTGGGTTGAGTTCCATGCTATGCAAAAATAAATATTTATAGTCTGTTACTTACAAAGTTTTGAGAGCCATCACCTCCAGCTTGCATAAATCAATAAGACATTATTCAGTTCTTTTCAAAGGATGATTGATATAGAAACCTCAGGAAATTTGTGTAAAGGAAATACAGTGTTTGCAAGCTTAGTGAATAGACACCCAAGCAAATAAATAAACTGGGGAAAGCTATGAGAAGTTGTCTAGATGCTACCTGGCCTAAAAGTAAATACTGGGAATCATAGTCTTCTTTAATTAAAAATAAACATGATTATAGTGTCTGTGAACATTAAGGGGGTGGGGGATAAAGAAATGACACATTGGTTCATTACTTCCCTAGGAGAAGGAGAACAAATGAAAACAGTGGCGTTTACTCACAGATGTAGATATTACCAGGAAACAGTTTTTTAAATGAAATCAAACCTTCACACTCTACCATCCACAATATAACTTAGACCAATAGGATATACCATTGAAGAAACCACTTGCAGTTAAGAATTGATATCTAATTGGCCTGATAACAGTCAAGACACAAGTATTATTTGAAGTCAATATTGTATAATATTATACATTAAGTATAAATAAATACTTTTATGTTATATTCATATATATGCCCAAATTAAAATCAAATCTAAAGGATTTAGAGAAGAGCAAGTATGTTGAAAGGATGAGAACTCTATTTCTATTTTTTTTTTTGTCCAAGACTATAGTAAAATTTTAACTAAACGAATTTACTACATAGTACCATTTCCACATTTATTTAAAAATGAGACATTTCTTTTAACCCAAAATTAATGTTTTTTTCCAGTACTAGGGATTAAACCAGGGCCTCACGCATGCTAGGCAAGCATTCTATCACTGAGGTATATCTCTCTTTTTTAAAATTCTGTTTTGAGGCAAGGTCTCCCTAAGTTGCCTGGGCTTGCCCCAAACTTGTAATATTTCTGCCTCAGCTTCCTTAGTAGCTGGGTTTACATATATGTATCACCATACCTGTCAAAAATTTGTCTTTAAAGATATGTTGAACCCATTTTGTCTCATCATCCCAGATGTAAAACACCTATAAAAACTTAAATATAGTATGTAATATATAAGTATGTTATAACAAGAATATAATTGTATTATACTATAATGATTTTAATAATATTATATATACAGTGCAACACACTTTAATGTACCTATGTCAATTTCATTGAAATATGCACAGAATTGAAAACTTAAGACTTAGTGGGTTAAAATTATCTGCCTGGTTGCCCCATCATTGATTAACTACATGAAATGAATTCCGATATATAAAGTGTTAATTTTTTAACCAGCAAGTATATTTTGAGCTGCTACTATATGCCCAACAGTGTTTTAGGTCCTGGGAATACATTGTGAATATGCAAATGGCTACCTGCATGGAGACCACAGTCTGATTAATAAGGTAAACAGTCTGATTAATAAGGTTAATAGATAAATAAAAAGTGTTAATACTACCTCCAAGTAGAGATACCAAGAAGACAGTTTGGTGTCCAGATCTGGAGCTTGAAGAAAGGTCTAAGCTTGGAGTTTGGGACTCGTCACCTCTGGGAAGATACTTAAAGCCATGCATCCAGTTGAGTTTAACCTGTACCATAGGTTCTCAACCAGGGGTGATTTTTGTCCCTCAGGGTACATTTTGCAATACCTGTACATAATTTTAAGTGTCATACTGTGGGGTGAAAGACATTCCTGGCATCTAGTGGGTAGAGGTTGGGATGTCCCTAAGCATACCACAAGGTAGAAAAGAGGCCCCCACAACAAAGAATTATCCACCTCTAAGCCTTAACCTAGAGACCAGATAAAGAGAGGTCTGAGGATAGAACTTGGAACACCCCAGCATCTAGGGGTCTAAAAAGGGGCCGCAGTGAGGTAGAAGGACAGCCAGGAGCAGGTGGTGTCCAAAGCCAAGTTTCAAGGAGAAATGAACAATTGTGTCAAATGCTGCTTAGTAGCTGAGTGAGTTGAGGACAAATTTAGCAAAATGGTGCCCATTAGTTGCCTTGACAGGAGGAAATATTAATCGGCTGTAAGATCTGGAAGGTTAAGTTAAGCAGAACTATACATAAGGTAGTCTTTGAGTTTTGTCACTGTGAGATTCAAGTGAGATTTCTCAATACCATCCTGTGTTTCTTCCCGCCATCTGCAGCTGCCTAGATGCAGATACAGAGTAGACAGAGAGCTGGGGCTGATCAGATTTGAGGTTCTACCAGGTGAGTGTTACCCAGATTAGCCAAGGTGTTAGTGAATATATGGTAGAGAGACAGGTAGCACTGAGCCATAGAACCCTCACTGGGAAAAGAAGTGCAAATGCAGAAAGTAGCCCCAGATAAGAACAGGAAACGGGAGGCAAGATGGTCCAGAAAATTCAACAATATGTGAGCAGGTAGCCTCTTGCCAATCATTTATGTGCATTTTTACTCTAATTCCTGCAGAGC